GACTTTTTGTAAATACAGCCCCAGGTCATTAGATAATTTGCATTCAAATTGTAAAATTTTTGTTCATTTTTTCCCCTGCAGTACCTTTACAGATCACCAGGGGTCACAAGTCATTCTTGCCGTTTCAAAAAATTCTCATCTTTGTTTTAGCCAAATAGATAACCTTACCTTGCTGATGTATGTTAATAAGATTATTTTGTCAATAATGTTTAATATATTAAAACTATTTAAACGTTTTCCTTTGTAAGGTATACAATATGGTATACAAATTTGTAAGGTTACATCAACTGTCTTGAAACACTCTCACATTTCGGTTGAGTTTGGAATTTCTTTTTAGTTTGTCACTTACACACAGTTTATGAATCTGGCCTGGGTAGATTTGCACAATGCCAGACCATCAGAAGCAAAATAGCAAGAGAAGCCCCGATAACTATAAAAAGCATCTAAATACTTATTGCCAATTTATGCTCTGCACTTATAAACAGACTGGAGCATGTTTGTGATTCATGTGACAGCCAGAAAACTCTTGAAACCTGTAAAGAAGATCAAAAGGAACATTTTACCATCTGTTCTGTACTGAGGGACCTTCAGGCTGTTTTAAAAAAAGGGAACATGAACAAAAAACAGGAAGAAGGTACTGAATTCTCCAACACCTTTGTGAGAGCTGTCAAACGTTTGAAGGATGGAGAAAAAGCAGCACATCACCTTGGACCCAACGACTCATTCTATTTCGGTTTTAATCTCACCGTATCTCTCACATCGGTCTACACAACCTGCCTGGGCGCTCATGAATATTCCATCCTAATGGAGAGCTTGTTGTGAGTTGCTATGGCCTACAAGCAAAAGTTTGCCAGGCTGCAAGTACCTTACATAAACGTCTCCCTAAATTATGCATGGGAGCTATGAAAGAACTGGAGAATGTAATGAAATCATACTAGTTTGGCCATGAATCATTATTATCTGTCCATGGGGTGCTGAAGTACTTTATAAGTGTATTACAAGTGCGCATGCTGAAGTGCTTAGTTCTGTATTGTTCATGGCTCAGTGAACTGAATCCCACTAGGAAAGATCTTAAACGAGAAACGTTCCGAATTTTAATGAAATCACTTTTAACTCTGTACAACTCAAAACCACCTTTAGTTCAAAATATAATTATAAGTGATCACTTCAATCAAAATGCATTTATTTCTTCAAGTGGGTGACAACTAATTAACCTGTTTGAAGTACAAAACTCATGATATAAAAATTAATTCAATTACTGTCCAAACAAAGTCCAAACCATCCGAACCAAGTTTCCAGCGACAAGCTATTTTATTAGCTATCAAAACTGCTTTGAGATGTGACACATTTACAGTCAATCAGAGGATATTTCCTACTGTTTTACCTGCTGTAGTAAAAATCAAGCTTTTAATGTTGTTTAGATATCTATCTGGTGCTTTTAATATGCTTAAAGACAACCCTTGTGCAAATTCATCAGTCAACACCACTGCTGAGCATTTTCTCCTTAAAATGACAGTGTATCAAAGACAGTCTCAAAACTGTGGTTATA